AGGGGAGCAGCGGGAGGGCCAGGAGAGGTCTGCCGCGACATGTGGGTCACCTCCAGGGCGGGGATCAAACTCACACTAAAGTGGCTGCTGCGTCCTAACCATTGTGCCACCAGGGAGGGCCCTCAACTCATTCTAAAAAGCTAGCTGGAAATCAAATGTTAAGGCGGTTTCTTGGCGGTGTTAAGTCCCCATCGTCTAGAGTGCTGGCTGGCTGATTGAAGCGTGCCTTAAAGGTTCAATTCCTGTCTCTAGCTTATTGGCATTTGGTGGTGACAGGTGGCCTGAACTCCAGACTTCTGGCTCTAGAACCTGCAGGAAGAGCATGGAACTGGCTATATGGACATGTGTGAAGAACCTCGGTTTCTGGAGTGAATGCGTTGCAAGAATCATGAGAAAGCTGCAGAAAGCGGTGTCTGCAGCACTTGGGGCTGTGGCTCTGGCCCTACCCCAGCAGATCTGGGGACCGGAAGAATGAAGCTCTGATGCCTGCGGGGGCTCCTGAGCACATTCAGCAGCCGAGGGCTGTGTGTTTGCCCAGTACCTGGGAGTCTGCAGTTTATGGTTGCAGAGATCAGAGCAATTTGATGAAATTAAAAAATGAGTCAAATCTGAAACCTATACTCATCACAGGCCCAGCGTTTACAAGAAGCTGGCAATGTTCTCACGACAGGAAATGCCACAGATCCCCAGCTGCTTCTGGGCTTTCCGGGGGTGGCTGTGCCTGTGTGAGCGGACCCACATTTCTCACGGGAGCCTCGGAGCTGCTCTGTGGCTGTGGAGGCCTTGTCTCTGTCATTAAGCTGATGTTTGCACAACTTTTCTTTTTATTCTGTGGAGTTTGGCATTGCAAGGCGACTTTTCGTAAAAATTCCCATGGCTCTTCTCCTTTGGTTACTTTTCAAAACAAGGTCCAACCCCAAAAGAGGCTGATGCCTTATCATTTACAAGAACATTCTTTGTATGTCATGTCACTTGTGGTTATAACCAAGGCTTCGGTCCTGATTAGAACAAACCGAATACCAGAACCAGTACTCAGATGAAATGGCCAGAGGCTGCCCCCCAAATCTTCCAGAGGAAGCCTCTGACTACCCCAAGGTGGGTGGGGTCTTCTCACTTGGAGCGGCTTTCTCCAGAACGAAGACATATGTGGCATGTTGAGAGTCATTAGCAGCTCTGAAGCCTAATATTTGAGAAAATATGCCTGAAAAATGCCTGAGCTAACAGCTTTTTTTAAAAAAAAATTATGCTCTGTCCTCCTCTTTGTGTAGAAAGGGTTGTCAAATCTAAGTATGGACACATTAAAGCAGACACTAGCACTAGTTCATCCTTCATTTCAAATCCTGGCTGATTTTGTGATTTCAGAGAACTAATATTCGGCCGACTCTTTTGTGGAAGAATCCCTGGTCCGTTTTTATAGGGATGTTAGAAGGTAGGGTAGGTGTGGATAACAGCCCCTGGGAGTCTCTCCAGCTGCTGTTCACACAGAACAGTAACTGCTGCATCCCATGTGGTGACGAGAAGTGGGACCTCACTTTCTGCCCGTCTGTGCACTATCAGGTGGGTGCCTGCTAAGGAGAACTGTAGCCTTTGCACTTGAACTTAGTGTGTAATGCACCTATGGTGACTGGTTGGACTGTTGCCTGGGTTGGTAACAAAGGATTGCCCACTGAAAATAAAAGGGGGAGGGCCTCCCTGGTGGCGCAGCTGGCTAAAGCACAGCACTGTAAGCTAGCCATTGCTTCAGTGTAAGTTCAATCCCCTGACCCGGAGATGACCCACATGGCCAGCAGACCTCTCCTGACCGGCCGGCTGCTCCCCCCTTCAGCAGTGTACTTCATCAATCGGCCTGTTCTGTTCCTCACTCTGTCTCCGGTGAATCCTCTCACTGCATCTGCACCTCTGGCCTGTACCCCAGTTCTGTATGCATAAATAAATAAATCTTTTTAAAAATCCTAAAATAATAATTCTCTTTCTGAGATGCTTCATCCAAAAAAATGGGAAGAAAACTTGCATTAATCTACCATGAAAAACTGTACAGGAAGTCGAAGGCTGACAGGGGCTGGAACCCCCGCCACAGGAGATGAGGAACCGGGTGCAGGCTGTGACCCCACTTGGAGCTCCTGGGAGCAATGGACCAGCTCCGCCTGGGGAAAATGAGGACTCGACTTTCACGGCCTCTGCCTTTGGCTGGGGGCTTCGGCAAGTAGCTTGTGGTGGCCCTGCCCATGCTGGGTCTCCCCCCCCCACACACACACCCCTCCCGCAGCTTACACACAGAGGGGAGAGAAGAAACCAGGGGAAGGAAGGCAACCAGGAAAGCAAGGGAAAATGAGAGGAATGTAAAATACAGAGTGAACATGGTCATTTTATTTTTTACTCAAACACCCTCTTTAGAGGGGAGAAAGCGAGTCTGCACCTGCCACCTAAGCATTGGCGGTAGAAAGAGCCAGTCACAGAAATCCAGCGCCGATGTTAGTAACTAAGGGCCTTCCTCTCCCAGGAGGGCGGTGGGACACCCGCTAAGAAGCGCTGTGACCTGAAAGCGTCCACCCTAAAGGGCCATGGCAAGGTGCAGGTGCTTGTGAGTCAGGTGCCCAAGTACTGCCAGCAACACCTGGTTCAGCCCCAGGCCCAGCAAAGCGCTGTCTGCCCTGGTGGAGGAGATTCCAGAGAGCGACCCCGGGTTGAACCTCAGGCGCGAGGCCAATTTCTCCACAGCGGTGGACACTTTCTGACGCTGCCACCTCCGTTCTGAAATGCTCCCACGTTTCAGACTGGGGCTGGCGCAATGGAAGGCCACAAATCTGGCAACAGAAGGACGTGGGCACAGCCAGATGAGCTGGGCGCAGTTCAGTTCTTAGCTGTAACAACAGGTCTAGAAATGCAGGAAGGAAACCCAGAGACGCTGGCTAGGAAACGCGGGTTTTACCAGTGCATTTCCAGGGCCGGGCTGTATTGGTTCAGGCTGTCCACTTCCCTGACAAAAGCCAATGTCCTCACTTCACAAACACGAGCCGACACTAACAGCAACAGCATGAGAGACCACTGTGTACGGATGCCAGACGGCAGGCAGATGAGCTGGGGATACTTTGGAGAGTTTCACAAAAATAAGGCAGGGCGATGAAACTCTGGCACGGGAGATGGGGAGAAAATTCCTTAGAGCTAATGGGAGGGAAAACACAAGCAGTTCATACATACAAGCTTTTAAAACAGGACTTACTGCCTCTAGCCCACGGAGAAGCTGCAGTTCTGCCTTGCACCCCACGCAGGAAAGCAGCTGTTTGCGTTTGCTTTTGAGACATGGCGGCCGGAGGGTGATGTATGAGGTTTTATCGCCATCTAGTGGCAGCATGGGTATGGCTACTGCAGACCGCCTCTCGTGTAACTTGACAGAAGACTAAGTTAGCTTCATTTCATTACCACCCACTTAGTTCGAAGGAGATGCCGTTTTTGGTCCTCAGTCATCAACCAATGACCATCACTTACGGACCAGGTTGGAGTCAAACTTACATTCTGTTTCCACCTGGGTGGAGATGGCGTGACAGAAAGGAGTTTGAAGCCCTCTTCTCCCATGACACAGTCTCAGCCCCTGAGGTATCCCTATTTTAACAAAAGAGTAATTATATGCAGAAAATATAAGACCTGAAGACAGGGTAGCAGCGTGGGGGGATGACAAGAGCTGTTAGAAGGGAGCTGTCTTCTCCCACTGAAGGGAAAAAGAATTCAGTGAGTTGACAGCCTACAGCGAGATGGTGAGGTGAGGGGATGTGAGGTGAGGGGATGTGAGGTGAGGGGATGCGAGGTGAGGCAAGGTGAGGCGAGGTGAGGTGACAGTCATGTTTGTATAGAAAGGACATCAACTTGCAGAGACCAGTGGCATTTCCCTATCCTCTACTGTTTTTAAAGAGGTTGAGGAAGCCTTCCTGGTGGTGCAAGGGATGAAGGCACAACACTATGGAGCTATCAGCAGCCACTGCTGCACAAGTTTGATCTCTGCCAGGGAGCTGACCCACATGGCACAGCAGACCTCTCCCCTGAGCAGTGTGTAGCAGTGGATCCACCCGTTCTGCTCCCCACTCTGTCTCTGGTGAATCCTCTCACCCCCTGCACCTCCAGCCTGTACCAGTGTATATTGTGGTTTCATTTTTCACTCACCCCTGCTTTGCTAGGTTGATGGGCCAGACACCCAAGAGGTGGGAAGGAATAAATATTTCTTGAGGACCTAAACTGTGGTAGACATGTACCTGAAACTGAACCTACAATGTTTCCCAGACAACAAACTTCACTGAGGTATGGTCCCTTGGAAAAGACTAGGATAGTTTACAATAATCCAAATTATTATTTGTTAGTTCCCCTTTTCAATAGAAAACTAGGTTAGTGTACATGCGAAGACATGTGGCAAAATGATCAACCCCACTTTGTAGAATGTCGGTGTCCCAAGCCAGGCCCCCCACCCTCCCCACATGGGTTTCCTTTTGCTAAAAGTCAGAGCATCAGGCGCTTGAGAGGTAACTCCCTGATTCAGAGACTAATGTTTAAATGGCAGTCAGCTTCTGCATCTGGGGGTCTATTTTTCCTTCAACAAAGAGATTTCCTACTGCCCTGCCCACAGAGCTGTTTCTAGGATTAAACAAATAATAATTACTAGGTGCCATGTCTTTGCAAGAGATACTGTGAGCTGATTCCATCAAAAAGGAATGTAGATTTGTTCCCTCCCAGAGTAGTCTCCAGTGAACCCCACAACTGGCTTTGAGGCCACCACCAGGTCTTTCCTGGGCTGCTGACCGCACCCCCAGGCTGCTACTCCTCTGTGGTCCCTGAGCAGAACCTCAGGGTGCACTAGTCTTCCTGACACCCCTTTTTTCCATGTTGTTCACCCTCCAAAACTGGAGAAACGTGTCTGTCTGAGATGTAAGGAGAGACGCACGGAGAAGGGTCAAGTCCTCACTCAGCAGAACCAAACCTTGCCCTTCGGCTCCACAGGGCAGTCTGCTGTGCCTCCACCCTCGCGCCCGATGCCCGGCCTCGTGCCCTGTGGCCACCGTGAGCGATTCGCCACCACATCTTTATTGCATCTCCAGGGAGAAGCAGTGAATAACTTATCATACAATGTCCCCCCCAACCCCCTCCCCAACCCGTGATACACAAGTCCACGGACAGAAGGCAGGAGGTGGACAGCGTGTCCGCCTCTTCACAGAGGGCAAGGGGAGACAGAGGACTCTGGGTGAGGACATGTAGCAAGGGCAGTGCCTGGATTCTCCTGGCAAAGAGAAAAGGGCTGTCCAGGCCCGTGAGGTCCCGAAGAACTCCTGGTAAGGCATGGAGGGGAGATGAGGTCTGAGAGGGCAGCCAGTGCAGGAAGAGGGCATGGAGGGGTGACCTGGAGGAGCTGCCAGGGCCCCGAAGAGGCCCCGTGTTCAGCAACTCCTCAGAGACGAGCCAGTGGGGGCGCCTTCAGCCTCCCACCAACGAGAGAGAGAGAAGGGTGCCGGGAACCTGGCTTCCAGTGTATTCTCGGGCGGGATGGGCTGAGGGACAGGCCTGAGCTGTTTGGGCCCAGATCTGCAGTTCTGCTGTGGGCCCAGTGAACCGTGAAAACCCAGCCGTGCGTCAGCATTGCTGGCTGAACGATTGACCTCCTGAAAGCCTGAGTGAGGGGCCCCCAGGTGGGACACCTGGGTTTTGGTCACAGGTAGGAGGACAGGAAAGCTAACAGGCTCCCCTGAGGCCCCTTTTAAAAGAAGGATCTTAGATTAGGATAAAAGAAGAAACTCCACTGCTGAGAAGCAGCGCCCACCAGCCAATGTCAAGTCCAGAGCAGAAGGATGAAGGCCCAGCCGGCGGGGGGGCCAGCTCTCCCAGGAACGGTCTGTGGGGTTTCCTGAGAAGACTCTAGACTTCACCCACATCCCTTGAGCTCCCCACTGGTTCTGCTGACTTCTTGTGTTCGCCCCACTCTTCAGAACAGAATTAACTGCCCTCTTTTCTTCCCTCATAGTTATTGTAAGGGCTGGCCTGGGCCCGTGGGATGGAGAAATTCTTCTGGGAGGTCCGATTCTGAAAAGGAAGCAACCATGTGGTGAAACCCACTTGCTGACCAGTTCACTGTGGTGCCAACCTCGGCCTCTACCCTCCCTGAAAGTACTTCCACCCCGCACCCCGCACTCCAGGATCCTGTGGAGAACCCCTGGAGGTAGGTTAAAGGCGGACACATCCTCCTTTCAAGGAGGCCCTTTGGGGTCACAGGAATGACTATATAACTTGCCCCCAAAGATATGTGTTCGGTGCTAACTCTGGGATGACAAAGGAAAGCGAGTTCACTCACCTGCAGCTGAAAATGGGTCGAGTAAGGGGCATACAGGGTGTCACCCAGATCCTCAAGTCCTGAAACAGATGGAGGGAACAACAGAAGAGTTAAGGTCCCTCCTCTGAGTTCCCACCTGCTCCTACCCCAGCTGAGTCACTTCTCCAAGCGTGAAATGTTATCTGAATTATCCATTTAATCATCACCTCCCGCAGGAAGTGACCCGTGCCCCAGCCCAGAATCAGGCAATGACTAAGAACAATAGCGACGGAATAAATGAGTAACTAGCAGCATGCATCACTAGGGAAACAGCTTCTCACATGTCCCTGGAAGCCCACCTCAGCCTGGGACCACTTCAAAAGCAGGTTTGAAACCAATCTCAGTCCACCCACTTCGACTGAGTCTCATAGGGGCATTCCTCGTTTCCTTGACTACCCATGGAGGCGGGAACACATTATTTTCGTTGGGAAGGGATTAGAATGTATAAGCAATTGTTGTGTAGGTATCTGGGGGATATCAGAGGAGTTTAAACCGGGGAGCAGATGCATAAACACATACGATCACCATGAATGTAATTATAGTGCAATAATTGGGCCCTCCCTGGTGGTGCAGCAGATTAAAGCACAGCACTGCAAGCAAGCCGCAGCCACTTCAGTGTGAGTTCAATCCCCAGCCCCGGAGGTGACCCACATGGGGCATCAGACCTCTCCTGGCCCACCCGCTGCTCCCCCCAGCAGTGTATATCAGTCAGTCAGCCTGTTCTGCTCCCCACTCTGTCTCTGGTGAATCCTCTCACCGCCCCTGCACCTCCCTCCTATACCCCAGTTGTGTATGCATAAGTAAATAAATCTTTTTTAAAATCACTTAAAAAAAATAAAGTGCAATAATTAAAAACTCATTCCTTTCCCAGCAAGTAGATGTGTCTGCTTACTAAATATGTACACACCTATCCATGAGCGACCGTGCAGAGCATGAGAATGAACTAGAGCGATTGGGCTGTGTGGGAACTGGGATGAGACCAGGCCTGCTAAGCGCATTTTGAAGCTCTAAGCTGTTCAGGCGGAGTGAGTCCCGAGGGACACTGGGGAATCTTGGCTCGAAAAGAGCCAGAGTAAGAAAGGACACCACAGAGGCTGCAGGCAGAGGAAGGAGAAGGCAGGCACTGTTTGGATGGAGAACACAGCCTCCGGGCAGCGGGTTCTGACCCTGCAAAGTCTCACTAAGGAATCGCAGAGCTGCCGACACTGAGTAGCCAGCAGGGGAGGTGCACAGGAAGGAGTGGTAGCCAGAGAAGCATCTCAGGAGAGCAGGTGGACAGTGGTGGCCCAGAAAGTGAGTGGAAAGAGAGATAAAATGAAGGCGCACCCATAGGTGGTCACAGGGGGTCCAAGAGGGAGACAACAAGCAGTCACAGGAGGAGTCGGGTGGGGAGAAGGTGCCTCTGCGCCCCCTGCCCTTCCAAGCACCCAGCACCTCTCTCCTTCCCACAGCTCTGTGAGAAGAACCTGGAAGTTTTGCACCTCACAGAGAAAACTGTCAGCTGGAGCTAAGAACCCATCCTTGACGAGGCCCAGAGAGCAAGGGCTGGATCCCTGAGGACCGGGGCTGTTCCGGGGTATCAGTTTTGCCTCTTTTTAAGAGAACAACAACAGAACACTGGCTCCTCAGAACTCCAGGCAAGCATGAACTTGATTCCCATATGATTGGCAGATACCATCTCTCCCATGGGGCCAGAGACATGCAGTAAAAAAAATGCAGCTCTTCATGCTAAATGGAGATCCTCGGCGACCTTGTGGGGTTCCTGCTGGTCTCAGCCAGCAGGCTTCCTCCCAGGGCTGTGCTCTGTGGTCTCTGCTCTCGACTCTATAAAGACCCCACTCTCCTGAAAGGCATGTCCAAGATCACTAAGGCCTCAGTCCTACCTACTCGGCCCAGGGAATTTTTCTAGTCTCTCCTTTTCCAACCCTTTGCTCCAGCTTATTTTGATTCAGAGCAACTACCAGACTCCAGAGGTCAGCTTCTCATTCTCCTTGTCTCCAGCTCGCTGGGTGATTTTAAGCAGATCCAACCTTGGGGACCTTATCTCTGCTATGGGGAGTTTAGCCCTGATAATCTTGCCAGTTCCCGATGTCACCACATCCTGCAAGGCAGTCCCCACCCGGCCAGGCTCCGTACCGTGGGTGACTTCCTCCTGCGAGTAGGCTCTGTTCTCCACTCCATAGCTCTGCTTCATGAGCTGAGGTTTGCAGAAGGCGTCATCAACAGGGTAGTCTGTGGGATTCCGCTGTTTCGTGAGCAGCTGGAACTGGGGAATCACATAGGCCAGTAGGAAGACCCAGCCATTGGCCACCAAGGTGGAGGCAAGGATGGTGTCTTCCCATCTGTCCCCGATGGCAGGGACCCACAGCAGCGTGATCCATGCTGCCCAGATGGCCATGGACAGGAGCGTGGTAAGGAAGATGTGTATGCCATGCTTCTTCCAGCCAGTGAAAGACCCACAGAAGGTAAAGGAGGAGGCGAGGAAGGTCAGGGCCATCAGGAAGATGACATAGGTCAGCAGCAGGACAAAGTCCTCATGGCGCCGGAGGACGGGAAGCTGCTGGAAGACTTCAGTGTGGGTCCTGTTCATGATGAGGACCATGTACTCCACAGCAATGATGTCCTGGACCAGGCTGAAGCCCACGGCCAGAGCCAGCATCACCAGCATGGACAGGGGCTTCCTTCCACGCACCAGCTTGGTCAAGTTGAAAGTATGAGCCAGCAGGCAGGAGAAGCAAAGGGCAAACAGGACACCGAAGAGGAAGAAGCGTGTGGGCCCCGTGCTCTGGTCCAGCTGGATGATGAAGGCAAAGGTGAGGCCGAAGACCCCCAGCACTCCCAGGAGGAAGAGAAACTGGGTGGGGAGCAACTTCCTTTTGTTAGAGTCTTGCACCTTGCAAATGAGGATCACCAGAGCCAGCAGGAAGCCCACTGTGGTCACAGCCCCCAGGGCAGCCACTGCTTCTAGGACGATGCCCCAGACTTCAGACATATCACAGAGTCTGTGGTATCTGGGGTCCAGATGCTCACGGCACCCCGGGAATGTAGTTTTTGTGGGAGCTGTTGGAGTCATTGTGGTCCTGCATAAAAACAAATGGGGGTTGGGGGGTTGTGAATCGCCTAACCCACGCGTATGAAGACCCAAAGATGAGGGGACATCGTGTCTGTTTAACCTGAATTTACTATGTTAGGTTAGGCGATTAATGCTTCTCCACCTCGGTGGCAAATTGCAAAGGCTGCTGATATCACACACACACACACACACACACATCCCCATTTCAACCATCTGAATACCTTCCCTGAAGCCAGACCACCCCGTCTCCCTTCAGAAACTGTCGCAAACACCTTGCCTAGGTTTCTGGTGTCTTTGGTTAGGGCTCCTTAGGAAAGAGTGAGCAGACAAACACCAGGCCTCGAGGGAACACTTCAATGGCAAATCTCAACGGCAGTCTCAGGCTTTCTTCCGCCCTGTGCCAGAGGTTTGGGAGTGGCCCCGTCTCTCCTGGACTAGGGGTATGTAGGCTGCGGGCTCCACAGGACACCTAACATGCCAGACCTTGCCGCTGGAGCCTCCTCTCAGCTCCGTCCTCTCCTGTCAGAGGGATGTTTTCCCTCCTGGAGACGCCTACAGATGGCTCCGCTGATTGCAAAAAACGTGACGGAAGGAATATTCCCTTTTACCCAGCTTCTTAATTAACTACCTGGAAGGAGGGATTTCCTGGATGATACAAGAATGCAAGAAACTCCAGCAAGGAGGGGGACCAACAGCGAGTGCTCCTGGTTCCTGGGGTGCAGATACTCTGCTCATGATCCTTTGTCTGTACTATTTAATTCCTAACAGCCTCTGAGGTGAAAATTATTAACCCCATTTTACAGATGAGGAAAGAGAGGCAGAGAGAAGTCAAGTTATTTGTCCAGCACAGTCAGGAAATAGCAGAGACAGACCTGGATTTGAATCCAGATTATGGGCTCCGGAAACCATGCTTTTAACTACTACAGGTTTCTAGTCTCTGTCTGATTCTCTTTCTTTCTTGCCCTCATCAGCTGCCCCATAAACCAGCCATTCCTGACTAGCACACTTAATTCAGCCCTTGGGAGGTTGGAAGTTTCCAGGTAACAGATGATCCACAGCAGTTAAACCCTTTCCTCCTGGAGAAGCCTCAGAAACTGCCATGGATCACTGAAGCTTGTCCTAAATCTCCATGTTCACGTCTGCCTGTTCCCACAATCCCCATGTCCTGTCCCCAACATTAGACCCTGTTGACTTCCCAAACCCCATTGAAATGCAATTCTAAGGGATTCAGAACACAGATGGACAGATACTGAGAAACTGGAAGGGAGAAAAGACCATGCATGGGTGTCAACTTCTAAGTCAGCTCCAGATAAGATAAGGAAATTCAAAATTTGCTACAGTTTTAACAGTTTCTCAACAAACTGGTGTTTTCCGAATTATCTGACTGGTTATAAGTCTCTATGACACGATTCTTTTGTTCTGCTGTCTGCTATTTGTACATGGGTTTATTTGGGGTTTGGTTTGATTTTGCTTCAGTTTTTCTTTTCCTGGTAGGATCGCTCAGTCAACAGGAAATTTAGGATTGACTAGAGAGGGACAGGCTGCAGGGGCCGGGTTAGAGTAAGGCAGTTTCGTAGTGGTATCAAGACACCATTGTTAAAAAAAAAAAAAAAAAAAATCCTGCTTTCCCTGGCTCTCCAAGGGCAACAACATGTTCACAAAGAAATGGGGAAGGGTGGGGCTGGGAAGGGGGAGACCGGACAGTGTCAGCCAGTCCTGCCTTGTTCCTTACATCTGAGAAAACAACCATGGGTTCTTCAGCACAGGCCCAGGAATGCTTATAAACAGGATTTCTAAGGTGTGCCAACCACTGTGGGCGCTGAGGCCAACCCAGGAGAAAACACCCCCCCCCTCCTTCTGTCCTTCAAGATAAGCCAGGAGGGAGAGACCAGCACAGTGGGGTCAAGTCTCACACCCCAGTGTCCTGGCGCCGTGACCTTCCCGTTGGTGCAGATTTGTGAAATCCCAGGCCCTGAGTCGTGCAAAATCACGTTTTCGCTGCGTCATTCATGTAACGTCTATGAAAAAACGACGTATAAACGTCTCAGTCTATGTGACCTATAGATATGTGGACCTGTTTGTCTGCACACACACACGGATGATGACTATGTACGTGTCAGAATATCACAGGTCAGCTGTGTTGAAATAAATCAACACCAGGTAGAGCTTAACTCTACCTTCCTAACTTTTTCATGAAATTTAGCTCTCCTAGATTCACTTTGAGTCACATGGTCATTCAGACACCAAATATTTACTGAGCGCCACGGGATACCAATCACTATTCCAGAAGCTCAGTGTTAAAGGGGAAAACAGGCATGTTTCCTGCTATAGTGGAAGAGGTGGAGAGACACCACCTGCCACATCTGCCTCAGGCTCCTCTCGTCCTGAGACATCTGTCACCTGCACCCTACCCCACAGAATCTACCCCAAAGCCATTCCCCGGGAGCTGAGCAGGGAGCAAAGAATGGTATGTCCTACCTAGCAGGAGACATGGGGTGGGAGGAAGATACATGAGATTCACATACAGGTAACCCTCAAATCCTACTACAATAGCGCCCCCCTACGTTCATAGGGGCACGTGGGAGGGGAGACTGAAACCACAGGTGGTCCAGCTCTCTCTGTCTGCTATGCTTTTTCCTACAGAGATATCCCTGTGATAAAGTTTAATGTAGGAATTAGGCACAGGGGCCCTCCCTGGTGACACAAGGGGTCAAAGAGCAGCTATCAACAGCCACCGCAGCACGAGTTCAATCCCCCACCAGAGCTGACCCACATGGCTCAGCAGACCTCTGCTACCCTCAGCAGTGTATTTCAGTCAATTTGCCTGTGTCTGGTGAAGCGTCACCTCCTGCACCTCTGGCCTGTACCCCAGTTCTTGTATGCATATATGAATAAATCCTTTTTTAAAAAAAAGAAATTAGGTACAGTAAGAAATTAGCAACAACAACTCACAATAAAACGAAACAATCACAGCAGCAGGCAGTATGTACAATGAACTGAGGGGTCACAGCCTCTCTGAGAATGAGTCAGGTAACATAACATTTACAGCCATCACTTCTGAGGAGGCTGAGAAGCCCTGAGCTTGTGAATCGAAGTGGGTGTCTCTAATCCACTCCCCAAACTCCACTCTGCCGGTTGAGTCAAGGGTCAACAATGCTCTGTGCTGCTGAGGAAGGGGGAGCAGGGCCCTGAGCCTCTACTGTGAGTTGCTCGTTGCACAAAGTCAAAGGCTGAAAACCCAAAAACCTCAGGGCCCCTGGGCTCAAGAACCCTCACCACCTTTGCTGGACACATATTTTTTTTTTAGGAACAAAGGAAATTTTTCCCATTTGGGAGGCATTCTTTCATGTCACTTCATAAATGGTTTTAAAAGATATTAATTTTGTAAATATTTAAGGTTCTGCTCATTTGATTGTGAGTGCTGGACATCAGCTATTCTACGGGGAGGTTGTTTTATAATACTTGGTGAAAAGGACAGACAGGTGGTATATATTCAGAATTTTTTTGAGTACGCTGAATGCACTGAAAATAGAATTAAAAAATAAAAAGTTATGTGAATCTCCCTCCCCCTCGCTTTCTTTTCTTTTTTTAAAGGTTTGTTTATTTATGCACAGAACTGGGCTAAAGGCCAGAGGTGCAGGGGCAGTGAGAAGATTCACCAGAGACAGAGCGGGGCGTAGAACAGGCATATTGACGAAGGACACTGCTGAGGGGAGCAGTGGGCGGGTCAGGAGAGGTCTGTCAGGCCATGTGGTCACCTCCAGGGCCTGGGATCGAACTCACACTGAGGCAGCTGCAGCCAGCTTGCAGTGCTGTGTCCTAACCCGTTGCGCCACCAGAGAGGCCCCCTCTCCCTCTCTTTCATCCTCCCTCTCACAGAGTATCTTCTTGTATGTAGTATTTTAGATAACTGAAACCAAATATAAGAGGACCATAGAGGGGACCACGATATGCAAGTCTGACCAGCCTCACCTGCTGTTGTCTATTCCGTGGTGCACAGGGAAGGGGAGGGGACCAGGTGTGCCCTGGTCCAGGCCACGGTGCGGAGAGGAAGAGCCCAGTCTTCCAGCAGTTGGGGCAGGGCCCGAGTCTTGTGCATTTCACGCTAGCTCCCTTCACCTACACCTGACTCCCTGGGGTTACTCATCAGGGTGGTGCTGGCAGAGGAAGGCAATTCCCTTTGTTCTGTCACTCCCAGCTCCTCCCAGCCAACTGTACTTCCCGCCCCAGGTAGGACAGTTAGTTGACAAGTAGTTGTCATTATAATGACCTGATAATTCGAAAGGGCTTTGAACCTAATCGCTGGAAAACTTGACAGAGCTTGATGAAAACTAAAGGACAGTTCAAGTACTAGGGACCATCAGGAAGGGACCTCCTGCCCCAGTTGGCTGTGTGAGGGGAGATGATAAGGGCCCAAAAGTGAGCAGTGGCTGCCGAGGGGAGAAAACCAGCTCCACCTCCCAACCCCAATCATGCCAGCAAGATAGAGAAACAGTCCCTGATATGTCTTTAAACACGGGTGTTTTAAAATGTTTACAGTTTTATGATAGCAATTGTCAAGCATGCTCAAAAATAAATACTACAGTGGTGAGCCATGAACTCAACATTTGGTTTCAAGAATTACAAAAAATTCAAAAATTTTCAATTTGGCCAATTTTATTTCATAAACACCCCTGCCCCATTCACTAGAGTATTTGCGAGCAATTCTCAGACCACAGATCATTTTATCCACAGGGGCCTCATTCAAAGCTAAAGTCCCTTTTAACATTTTAACTCCTTAAAATGAACAATAAATCTTTAACATCAAATATCTTGTTAAGGTTCATTTTCTTGAATCACTCGCAGAAATCTTTTTGAAGATTTACTTCAAATTTACTTCTTAGTAAATATTCTTATTATCAGAGTGAGTAATTTTCTGGAATGGTCTTAATTCAGGGCTGTCAGCCTTTCTCCACCCCTCCCAGCATGACAGGGATTGAGCAACAGAGCAAAATGTCCTGGGTCCTT